AATTTATGAATTCAGGTTGTACGATCCATATAAAAATTTCACGCTATATATCTTCCGATGAAAAAAATATAATTCTGACAAAAAAAAAAAAAATAATATAATTTAAAAGTCAAATAGAACGCAAGAATTTCTAGAATTTTTTAACAAGTCGTCTTACGTTATGATCCAAATATCATAAAATTCAGTTCTATTTTCATCCTTTGTAATAGATTTTACGATCTACTTGAAAATAGTAGAACAATAGTAGTGATTCCTTCATTCTCTTCACTTACCTATTTCTTTTTTCTAGATCTTTTTATTTAAAAATCACAGAGTTCTACAACTGTATCAAATTCCACATTTCAGAAGTGTAAACTGAGAGAACGTAAAATCTTTTAGCAAATTTTATTATTATCAATATTTATTAATGTACTTTCTCATTGCCTCTTTAAATCAATCTTGAAAATAGTTATAAAAATAGTAACGCAATATTCTACTCTTGATTCTACTCTTCACACAACTTGAGAATGATTTACACCAGACATTGCATAACAAGTTTTAGCTACGTCATGCAGATTATGTAGAGCAGATTACATACCGCAGAATCTGCAACCTAAGGCTAATCTATTTGCTATAAATTCTAACAATAATTGAACGTCATACGTGATTGAGATAATTTTAACACGATTTTATCTTTAAATTTATTTTTTCTCTAACTTGAGAAACTTACTGTCATTTCCTCTTATTTCTACACATCAGAATCATCCTTATTTAGATATCATATCGTAATGTTTTGACACATCGTGTACGTATTATGAAAGATGATTAATAATCGATCCAATTATAACAGGATATCCTTAACAAGATAACGTAGATGGCGTCTAATCCGATAGGGCAATATCAATATGTCCACTCCATGAAGTCCAACGTTTCACAGCCTTTCGTTATTTCCAACTACATTTTATGGATCCACGATGGTCGTAAACAGATTCTCCGACTCAGAAATAGCCCGTGGGTACCGAGCTCCACGTTCTCGAAACTGGTTCCATCTCCTCTTCGTTTATCCCATTCGCAATTATTTCGAGTGTTACAAGAAAATTCCAAACTTTAATCAAAAGATTACAATATTCGTTTTTGCATTTATCTCTGTTACGTACGTAAATTAACGTACGTAAAAGTTCAATATTCAAATGGAGTACGAAATACGAAGAGAAGAAACTTTAATTAACAAAATTCTAATCGAAGGTTTACAACATTCTTCTTTGCGTATTTTTTTTTTTTTTTTACGTATCCAAATGGAATACGAAATGTACAATTCTAGGATTTTCAATTGATAATTCGTCGAAGAGGAAGACTTTAAGGATCGTATGTTGGCGATCAATTAAACGTAGGGCGCTATGTCTAGAAATACGGCGCAACGGGCGTCAATCATCGCAGAGAGTAATATAATGACATAATGTATAAATGTTTTTGTGAACACACTGGTAAAATTCTACTATATTTTATATTGGCGAATCCTATTTTCTTCCCACGTTTTATAGCGGCGGAAATAAAATTTTTTTACATCCCACTTCAAGGATAATAAACTTATCTCCGACACGACTAAGACCTATATGTATGAAATACATATCGAAGAGAAAAAAATATTCCCGACGTGCTAAGTGCCGATTCTTGTAAATATCTTCGACGATAACGCGACAGTGAAGCACAATGTTTCATTGTTCATCGATTTCTCTTCTAAATCATTGTGATATTGTGCTCGAGCGAGAATAAAAGTCTCTCTGAAATTGTCTTGTTGAATGAAAAATTAGATTTTACAATTTTCCACGATTGTATTAGCATTCGCTTAGCTCGAAAAGCTTGACTTTTATTAGTTGAATTATAAATATTTCCCTTCGTTTATTCATTAAAAATGGGACATATAATATAATAGATTGAAACAACAATAAAATTTTAAATTCTTACAAACTGTTCTGATTATTCGTAACAATCGACGATCGATATCTTTGTTATAAATTTTATCAATCTATCCCTTTTTATTGCAGCATTGGTCGTCAACATTTTTGATATCGATAAATTGCAGCATATTTGTAGGGAAATTTTATAAAATTTTTATCTTAGCTTAGAACAGAGACTTGTCTTCTTCCATATCATTCTTGCATTCTTCGAGCTTTTCGCGTAAACATCCTCAATCCATCGATGAAATAAAGATTACCATCAACACCTGTCCAAAATTTGATTTTAAGAAGAAGCTTCAAAGTGTCTCATTTTTCAACAACACTTGTATCAATATCGTCCTCGCGTCACGACAATTCATACTTGCTTCCTGCAGGCGTGATGCAATTATGCATAACTCCATCCATCCATTTCCTGTTAATGGGGAATCACGAATATTCTCTCTGATACCGGCATTTCTGACAACGTTCTCAAAGTGAACTGACCATATTTCGCCGATGTCGCAATTAATGGAACACACACACAGTGATCGGTGAATCTCATTAATTGCATAGGCGATCAACATCGATCATCGGCCGCTTCGGTTTCAAACTGTTCCCTCGACTTACCAAACAATAGAGTTTTCGCGAAATTACTTGCTAAATGCCCGCTTTAGAGAACGTTCATATTGCTAATTAAATTCGCTACTTCGCTAATTAACGGGAAATCTGGACAATGGTTGTATCGATTCTATCTTGTTTTGCTAGTAAGAACAACCTTCTTACGATTTTAGATTGAAATTTTCTTTGAAATAATAGACAGTTTAATTAGGATAATAGTTTAAGGAAGTTTAAGTTATATAGAAGTTAGCGCCTATTCGTATGTTTTAGATTAGAATTGTAAAATAAAAATTTGTCCAAAAGATGTCCCTAAGAGATGGAATTAGATTAAATCAATAGAAAAATTGTAAAATTGATTGATTGAAAAAATAAAATTAAGTGATTATTAGTGAATTAAGTGAAATTTTCTTAAAAATAAATTATCCTCAAACAAAATAGAATAAATGAAAATAATTCTAAATTTTAGGAGATCCACATTGCCTTTTCATTATTTATCGTTCGATTTAATGATAATCAAAATTGCAACATTCTTTGCGTATTTTATTGAAAGGACGAAAGAAATGTTGTTAACACGAATTTGTTAAAAATCAAATTCGCAAGATTTTCATTAGGATAGAAACGATCATATCCTCGAGTGGCGTGTTGTGAAATAAAATGAAGAATGAAAGGAAAGCATAAAAGTAATAACGCAACTCGTATTCACTGCTTAACTACTCGTCGCCAAGAATTATGAATGGAAATATAGCGACTGTGAATAATATAAATTTTACTTTTCAATTTGAAATTTTGCAACAATTAGAATCAATGATAACTTAGGTGACTGGTTATGTGAAACTATAACTCATAAAGTTACGACGTTTACAGTCCTCGAATTTACAGTGATTTATTTGAATTTAATACTTGTAACATAACACGTTCATCTCTCGTGTCAATGATAATACACTTTCCAACTTTCAATTCCTTTCAAATTGTATTGTTAATTAATGGATTTACACGAACAATCATACTTGTTACGATTATAAATAACAAATAACGACAAGTATATTAAAAAAAGAAAACTCCAAATTCATCTCCAATTTTCAATCAATCTATTGCTGCTCCATCGAAACGAATCAATTTCTCGTTGTTGTTTACTCAATTAGACAATTAGTTACTTTTCGATTTTACCAATTTATCGTTTGTTTAATTAAATATTCCACGCGTTATTTTCGAAACGAGTCATCGAGCTAAATTGAAATTTGTCGAGAGATTCGAAAAATATTACGAGAAACGACGATATTTCGGTGGAACGTTGGCAATAAATCGTGTAACAACGTAGGACGAATATTATATGAAAAGCGAGAAATATAAATGGAGTTTTTAAAATTAGAGCACTTTTTGTTAAATATAATTTTTTTCCATGAGAAATTAGTCACATTCATGTCCCCGGTTCGCTTTGAATTTAATAAATGAAGAGAGGTTGAAATATTTATTAGAAAAATGGTAAAACTCTGGTAAAATGATACGTTATTTTACGACTGCCCATTTTTGCTTTCATTTCTTTATATCATAATTACTGTAATTAAAAGGTAATATAATTTCGTGCTTTGTATAAAGTTATCTGTGTATGTTAATTTTTTAATTTTGAACAAGATTAAACGAAAATAACGTGACTAATTAATATTGTTATCATTTTAATTTATTTTTTATTTTCCTATTTTCTTTTTCTTTTTTTTTTTTTTGTTTTTTGATACTATATCGTTATTTTTTTAATAACGAAAGTTATTATTTAAAAAAAAAAACAACAATATCAAAAAACTTATTCTAAATCCAATCAAATTTTATTTCTTCTATTTTCGAAACTCGTAAAATGTGAAAATATTCTACAAAAATATATCTCTCTCTTTCTCTTTTTTTTGTCTTTATCTATGATATGATATTAATATGAATTTTCATAGATAAAATAATAAACATACGTGATGATTTTTAGAGAGATAAAAAAATCAATCAGAAAATCAAATATTATAAAGGATTTTCTTTCTACTTCCTTTCTTATTGTCTTTTAATATTCATTATTGATTCATTCTAAATGTTAGCTAATGTCAACACGATAATACTGCTTGACATTTTCCATTTTACTATTATTAAATTTCACATCTTTCTTTTTTTTTTTTTTTCTTATGTGTTCCAGAGATTATATCAAGTTTTAAAAAATAGCATCAAAATTTTAAAAATATGTGGAAATTTTATTGGTAATTCACAATTTATGAAACCGTGAATATCATTTGTTTCGAATATCAATCCTTTGCTTTGTTGCTGCAGATAAATTTAATTCTAACAGATCCAATTTTCACGCATATAGTGACTCACATTTATTTACATTAGATAATTATGAACTGAGTAAAGAATTGAAATTCGATTCAATCAGCAATAAAATTTTCAAAAATTAATAAGAATATAAAAATCCTTTGAAAAATATCTACTCACCTCAGTTTGCACGTCCATTCTTAACGAAATATGATGCTCTCTGCAACAAAGAAAGAAACAAAGATATATTATATTTGTATAAAGAATTAGAAATAACTATATATATGAACTATAACGTTCATTCATTCTCAAATCTATTCATTTCTTGGAATATAAATATTCGTTTATCGGTGGTTTCATGTTATAATACACACCATGTGTTTATTAGTAATATTATTATTGAGATCAACGTTAATACACACACTCTACAAAGTTATCAAAGTTTGAACTTAATCAAACTTTCAAGTACTCTATGAAATTACATCGAGGCTTTGTGATTCTCGTTGTTTAAAATGCTTCGCTGTGTTATAAATGCATTACAAAATAAATTCCTTGCCTTAAAAACATACTTGAAATATATATTTCTTCTTAGGTTTAATAATAATCAAAAATACAAAGAAAATTAATTTTTGTATTTTAATATATAAATATATAAATTAAGACGTAGAAATAAATGATTTAGTTTGATGATCTAGCCTCATCATAGTATTCGAATAAAAATATCTTCGAGATTTTGCAATTATTTAATCTAACGAAATATTTAATTTATTCATAAAGTATCGTTTCGATAATTGCCCCGTTTAAAAATAAAATTTTATTACAAAATACTATATTTTGTTCGATATAAGTATCTATAAAATAAACGAGATGATAGATAAAAAAATTTGAAAAAGATCTTTGGAAAAATTCTCTTTGGAGAGGGGATTTATTTTCGAATGTTTCCTTTAAAATTTCACTTCGAAGTACAAAAAGAAATTCGTTCCAACATTTCTTAAATTATATTTTTCGAGTTTTATACTTTGTCATTATCCCCGAAACAGAATCCCACTTAAAACGAATTGAAGATCCACCAAATCCGACCAATTTTCATATCACTTTCTTGAAACGATTCTACGTGTAATAAAAGAAGAGAAAATAGTCGCGACAGAATCGGTGCTGGTTAATATCAGAAAAAAAATCTCATTTCCTTCTACATTGTTAAAAGTTAACAAGCATAATTGTAATTGCTTACAATATTTGTGACAAGCATAATAATGTAGATTCATTGATAATATGTAAATTCATTGATAATGTAATAATGTAATATAGTTATCTTAACATTTTAAAGATTCATTCGAAAATATTTTTTATCTTCCTTCGCAAAATTATAACAAATTACTTTAAAAAATCGAGAATACATGTATATCGTATTCACGTTTATAATCAATTAATTTGCATTAACGCTAACAGTTATTTATTATTGATAAATAATAATTTAATTAGATTGCACGATATTTTCTGTTCAAACAATTAAACAGAATATTATTTTCAACGTTATATTATGTTTATCTAACACAGAAGAGGATTTTTTTATTATTATCACCGGAAATTTGTCACAATTACACGTTGTGGACAATTTATTTTTTTATCGGTACTTCAATCCATTGACCTTCAATCCAAATATAATTATATAATTATGTGCGAAACTTTGTTCCAGTTTACCAGAAATTAAGATTCATATCGAAATTCACTAAATCGTATCTCGTTTCTTTAATAATCCTTTATAATATCCAAAAGAACGAATATGTGAATAAATGAAAAAAATAAAAATATTGCAATATATACAGATAGATATTTATTTATTGCAAGTTTTTCAATTTTATCGCTTGTATTCTTATCCTTTAAGAAAATCAACTGTCAGCTCTAGTTTAATGATAAATTAAATTAAAATATTAGATTCTCGGGAAGGTTCTTATGGAAATTGAAGAAAAATTTAAAGGCAATGTGTTTTCACAAAATTAGCATTTCGTTGAATAATATAATGTCATTTATTTACTTTTGCCATCTATTGAATAGCTGCGAGTATTTTTGCGAAAAATTATTCCACTTTTACAATAGCGAATTCCTTTTAATTTATACCATTCAAATCCATTCTCCAATTATGAGTGTGGAATTATCCTGTAACAATATCTTCTTGAAAAAACAATTGAATATTTTTCCGAATATTTTTTTCTTTAATTACCATACTTAATATTATTACAGGAATAATATTCCAATATTTTAATAATTCAACGATTCATTTCTTCGGAGAAATCATATTTCACCGGATGATATGACCAATTTCCATAAATAAAATATCGAAATAAAGTCGATTTGAGAATCAAATATATTTCTTCTCGATAAAAGAAAAAAAAAAAAAAATTCTCGATCCGTGATAATAAAAAAATACGATAATAAATTTTAAATGAAATAAACTAGGTATTAAAAAAAAAAAAAACTAAACGAATTTTTCTCTTTATAGAGGAAAAGTTAGTCTCGATTGAATTGCAAGATTAGATTGAAAAAAAGAAATCATTATCGAAATAGAACGAGCGAACTTTCCCTTCCGATATGCTATATTTAATTCTTGGAAAGATCAAAGTAAGAAATTCTTCGGCTTAACACCTTCTTTCAAGGCGCAAAATCTAACGGAGGCTATCACGAACACAGTTTAATCCTAAATATTCCCCGCAAAGATGAATAGTCACGTTCCCTATGGCATCGTTTCCAGGAACACCGTGCGATCTTCAAATTAACGTGGAAACAACGTCAGTAGAAGCGTCTGGCTGTCTGCCAACTTCCTACAAGACTTGTAATACAAGTTAATCACCGACCACAAATTTCCTATGCCAATCTAAATACTATCCGTCAATATGATACACACAAATGCCTCTACTGACCGAGTAGATATTTTTTTCTTTTTTTCAAATTGTTTTAAAAATTTATTGGAATTACTCCGTCCTGATTATGCTGTCATTAATTATAAAAAAGATATTACGCGCTACGTATTTTTGTTTAACTCTTTATATAAATCTTGATACATATTTTTCTGCAATCTTTCTAATGTAAATAATATCTGATATACTTTTATAAAATCTTCTTATTAAAATATCTTCCTTAAAAAAAATATCACTTCCTATCATGATATATTAAGAAAGATTTCTTCTTGTGATTTCTAAAACACGATGACAGTATAAGATACATTATTAATCGTTTATCTTTAACGAAATGTATTTACAAAATAAATTTTTTTATATAAAATTCTTTTCTTAAATAATATACGTATATGATAAATTATATTATTATTAATATACATATATATTTATTAAACTGTAAGATCTTTTATACTCCATAATACAATCCATTTTCCATTTTATAATGGCGATATTTCACTTATCTAATTCTTAATTCTCATCCAATTTCCAAAAAGTTAAATTAATTATAATTTGACAAACAAAATATAATATGATATTTTCTCCGTGCTTTTAAAAGCTTCGAATTTTCTTTTTCTTTTTTTTTTTTAATTTGTCGTGTGTTTGTCCCTGAAGTTTAAAGAAAAATGACGAGAGGCAAGATGGTGAATGATAAAAGGAGTTGCACACCATTGTAAACAATATCGCGAGAACGAGAGGCGATGAAGGGTGGTTTTCAAGGAAAAAAAGCTCGCGGGTATACTTCATCAATAAACGTCCGGAGTATGTGTGTTAAAATAGATTTATAGCAACAGCTGCGCCAAGAACTTGAACCGATACGAAACCTTCAACCACTCTGGTTCGCAATTCGTGATTTCTTTATGAAACGAAAATCAATTTAATTTGAGGGAATTTGATGATTTCTAATTACAAGATTCAAAGACTCATTTGTTCACTGAATTGATGTCAGTTTGGTCAAACGTCGATTTATATAGATTTTTTTTTTCTTTCTCGACAGAGGAAGAGACAGCCATATTTAATTTCAAAAAAATATGAAATGAATTAAGAAGGAAATTATTTTGTTTAAATTATTATTTTTCCTAAAATTAATCGTGTTAAGTTTTTAATTGCCACGTGTTGGTGAGGTTTTTAAAAAAACTGAAAATGATAAAACGAGAATAATGATTCTAGGTTTCGTTTTGAAGCTTCCATTAAAATCTGATTAAAAGCGAAATATAGTTTTTAACAGGCAGAAGAATTCATGATAAATTATTCGGTATCTGGTTCATGCAAATTTAAGATGAATCATCCAAAGGTGATTGTCTACACTTGTTCTCTACATTTTTTTTCGAGCTATAAAAAAAATAATTGTACTTCTAAAAAGACATATATTTGAATAGAGAGATCGATAATCGAAATTCTAATAAAAAAAAAAAAATAGTCAAATTACTAAGGCAATTTTCTAATTTAATATTTTAGAATCGATCGATTTAATATTTTAAAAATATAAAAATATGTATGAACTATCTTCATAAAGAAACAAATGAAATTTCTCTGTTATAAAAATATATTGAGATCTAACAGATTTCATCCATAATGTCGTTCTTTTTTCGACTCTGTATAAAACTCGTCAAGTCCAGAAGAGCGAGAAAAATTGTGGTTTCAGAGGTAATCGTAGGATCGTTTAAACCTGACGTTTTTTTCTTCGAATTAAATAACTTTATCATTCTTATAACAATTTAATCCCAAATCGAGGAAGAAAAAAAATTGTTATCGAAGTATTTTATTTGTTATATTAATTAAATAAAGGTTTTTCGATATTGTAATAATTTTTAAAAAATTATTAGAAAATGTATTCTAAATATTAATAATTTTATATACACTTTAATTTCTTATAAGATTGAACTATATTTCAATATCGATAATTAATTAAATATTCATTATCTCGATCCTATATACATAATATTTATATTATAATCCATTCCATTAATTTCTCCTCAAAATTGGTAATTTCTATCAAATCTTGTTTAAATATCAATTACTGGATCCGCTCATTAACGAGAATCCGGTAAATATATCGTTTAAATTAGAGAGAAATATTACCTATCAGCATCTATACATGACTACCTATAATCGTGTACTAACAAACTAATGGTGCAACCTTTGTTTATAGTAATTAAATTTTTATAACCTATGAATTACGAATTATTTTGACGAAACTTTCAAATATAATAATAGGATTTGGAATAAGAATTGTTTTTGAAATCAAATTATTCGAAAATTTAAATTA